CCCTTCGACCACGGGGGACACGGCGGGCCCTCCCGTGGCGCCACTCGGGTCGCCCCCGGCGGCACCGGGTGCGTGCGCCGCCGAGGGGCCGAGCTGCCGCTGCTGTCCGCTCGCCTCTGACCACGCGCGTTCGGCGACCCGTCCAGCGTCGTGCGGCCTTTGCACCGCGTTAGGTGTGTGGGGGGGCGTCCCCGCAGTGTGACCGATGCGCAGCGGGTCGCCGCCCCCGCAGGCGGAAAGGGGCTTCTCCGCGGTCCCCGCGCAGCCCTCCGCAGCACGCATGCGCTCCCCTCCGCACCCCGCGGCTCGGACGCCCGGAATTCGCGTGGCTCCCACGGGCGGATTCTCCACGGAGACCGAGTCCTCCTGCACCCCGGCCCCGCTGTCCCCTTAGCTGCAGACAGGGCCTGGCCCGTAGCGGCTGCTCAGTAAACACCCAGGGCGCGTGAGTGCCGGAGCCGAGGGGTGAGTCCCGGGCGAACGTTCGCAAGATCTGACCCCCTACCACCCGCACTGCGCTGTCCAGCCTCCTCTGCGGGCAGCTGCGGCCGGGGGACCGCACTCTGGCCATCACCTGTGTCCAGCCCTGGCCTGGTCAGACCACACGGGACCCTCCTCTCCTTTTCCAATCGGCCAGCTGAAAGCGAAGGACTCCCAGAAGCTAAAAGGGGGTGGGGCACCCACAGGGGTCCCAGCCCGGCGTGGACCCCAGTCCCCTGGACCTTGGCCCTGGTCACATCCGAACCTGGAGGAGACACAGGGTCACTGCGTCCAGCCCCTCAGCGTGAGGGCTGCTTGACACGGCGCCGCCCCCGGGGTAGAACTTCAGGGCGGTGCGTCTGGAACCACAAACACGGCTTTTCCGTCCAAGAAAGACGCCTTTTTGCTTCCTCCGGGCAGCTTTGCCTTTAGAATCAGCTCTCCCCGCGCGGGAGCATCTGTCTGTACAATCGGAGGGACCTGGAAGGAAGTTTATCCCTTCCCTTCCTTTCCCTTAGGTTTCCACGGCAGCGGAGGCAGCCCAAAGGAGGAAGAATCCCCCCACCCCCTGCCCCAGGTGCCTTCAGAGGCGGAAGTCTCCGCCAGTGTCCCCTGCAGCCTGGAAGGCAGCAAGTGTCGGGGGGTCAAGCTCAGACCGCGCTGCGGGCTCTGGGCTTCTGACCGCCACCCAGCAAGTGCGTCAGGCCCGACTGCTTGGGGGCCACAACGGGGGTGACCAGGGTGTCAGAAAACACAGCAGCGGCTGCCCCGTGTGTCTGGGTGGAGCTCTCCACCACGGGACGTAGGGAGCGCCCCTGGGGCCGAGGTGGACAAGGCGGACACTCTGACCAGTGGTGTGTGCGGCCCATTCCCAGCGAAGCCACTCTGACCCTAGTGACACCCCTGTGCACGTGGCTTCTCCTCCCAAAATTGCCCACCTCACCTCCCGGGTGGGTTTTAAGGCATCTACCGGTTTTTCCCCTTTCTCGCTGTTCTGACAAGGAAATATGGAATGTTCCATACTAATCGCTCCTCATCTTCCTCTCCGCCGTCAGCCGGGGACCTCGAGGGGCCTTCCCGTGCCGGGTTGGCAGTAGCCAGGCGTCTGGGAGGGAGCAGGGACGGGGCGCAGAGGGGACTCGATTCCTATCCCTGTACAGGCTTACGAAGTTCAAAACAACACCCCTCTTTGAAGTTGCACAAAACCCGCTCAGCGTGTATCTGAAGTAACAGATGGCTGAGAAGAGCCTCCCGCGGGGACACACGCAGGCCAGTGGGGGGCAGCAGCTCGCGGGGAGCAGGAAGGAGGGGACAGGAAGGACAGCGAGCCCTGCGTGCCCCGCGCCGGCCGCCGCTCCAGGTGGGGGCTCGGGCCACAAGCCCCCTACCCCCTGCCTCCTGTCTGGCCTCGGAAGCAGCTTGGGCAGCCGCGGGCCTGGCTCCGTGCTCTGCTCCAACCCTTCCTGTGTGGTCTTTTAGCTTCTCTCCAAAACCATACTTTCACTTTTTAAAAAGAAAAAAAAAGACGATGCCAAAAAACGGTTAAATGCACAAATCTGTGACAGGTCAGTTCTATTCAGTTCAGCGTCCCCTAAGTCACCCCCCAGAAGACAGCCCCGCCCCCACTGGGCAGCGAGCTCCCATCCCAGCTGGACGTCGTGTCAGAGCTGCCGCCGGGAAGGGGGCTTCTGAGCCAGTAGGTCCGCGGGGTGCGCTGCAGGGGAGACACTGGGTAGGAAGGAGAATGGCTGGAGAACCACTGGATTTAAAAAAAAAATCTGGTCAAAGAGTCTCGGGGCGGCCAGGCGGCTGAGTGAGTCGCCCCCACTTCCCAGAAGTTCACGGCCGCCTGTTGTCCCAGTGGAAGCGGCTCCAGCATTTCCCACGGAACTCGGACCCTCCCAGAAGGGCGCCCCGTCTGCCCGGGAGGACCTCCGGCCGGAACGAGGCTGGGGCAGAGTTTTCCAGTCAGCCCCTTTGCACCTGAACCTGCGTGGGTCTCCTGGCCGGGAAGGGCGGGTTCCGGGGACGGAGGGAGAGAACAAGGACGCTCTCCTCCCCTTGTGTCCTCGAGTCAACAGGCGAGGTCTGGCGAAGACCCTCAGGGGACCCCGCGGGGGACACCCTGGGGGGGACAGAAGATGGTGTTCGACTCTCTCGAGAAGGCGTGTCAGGGACAACCGGGTCTTTGTCACAAGACTTGAGGCGATCTGACCTCTTCCCACTCGCGTCCACCGCTCGGCCCTGGGAGCGAGGGGTCACTAAAACAACCCGGGGACGAGGGAATGGGCCTGGGCGCGGGGGGACGGTAAAAGGAACACAGGGCCCGCACGGCACCCCGCAAACGCCGCAGACTGAAAACGACTGCAGGGAGGAGGTGAGACTCGGTCTCGGTTCCGCCACCCCAGGCGGCGACGTCCGGAACCGGGCACAGACCCACCTGAGAGTCCGACTGTTCCAGAGGCAGCTCAGGGCAGACCCGTTTCACCCGGAGCCCAGCGTCGGGGCGGGCAGACGCCTGTCCCTAGGGCTGCGTTTCCGGCCTGCGTTTCCAGAAAAGCCACGGGTGAGCTCTCAGCCTCCCCTGGCCTGGGCTCCTGCCCTCTGACCCCTCCAGGGAGCTCCTGGTTTGGGGTTGTCACCCAGGGGCTGTGACCGCCCGGTCTGATCAGAACTGCACCAGGACGTCCTCATTTGCATCTCTCCCGACCAATCAGAACTGCAGGATTTCACTTGGAAACCTCATTTGCATAACATGGACGTCTTTGGGAAGCTGGGGGTGAACGGTAGGTGGGCGGCTGCCCCCTCCTCCTCTGGGGGAGCACACTGCTGGTCTCCACCGGCGGCCCCGTCGCCCCAGTTTGCAAAGTGCCCCCTGAATCAAGTGTCTCCTCTTCCTCTGCAGTGCCCTTGGGCTTCGTCTGCAACGTCAGCCTTCTTTTAGCCGAACCACACAGCGGACCGCTTCCCCCCTCGTGACAAAGGAATCCTTCCTTTCCACAGTCAGGCGACACCTCGGAATGGACGTGGGCAGGCGGCCCGCAGACTCGAGCACGCGCTGACCAGTCAGCTAACCGGCAGGGGAGGGTGGGCACGCAGGGGTGCCGCTGCTGGGAGGGAGAAACGCGAACTGATACACCGCACCACGGAAACCAACGCCGGCCGGCAGACTCCGGGCGGGGCCCCCGCGTCGGCCCGCCCCGCACTGTCCTAAGCGTTTCCGCGGACCCCGGGGAGCACACGCCCGCAGCCCAACGTCCAGCTTCACATCTGGCTCTCTTCGTGGCCCGAGAGCCTAAGGGTGGCTGATGCCTTCCAATACGGCTCATGGAAAGGGCGGCCGCAAGGCCTGGCACGTGCAGGGTGTTGTGAGTGGCACCGGCGTGTGCCAGGTGTGACCCTGTGCCCCCCACGACAAGGGTTTTGCTGCGAGTGATGGGAGAGAAGGATGGGCAGTGACGTCCCCTGATGTCACCCAGCTGAGACTCGCGCAGCTGAGAGCAGCCCCATCATGAAGCCGCACACCTGGGGTCCGGGGGGAGGCCCTGGGCTGGGGCCCCCCCAGTCTCAGCGGGACACCGTCAGAGTCCCCAGCTCCCCCTGGAGGAGACAACCGTCCAGCCTCCCGTGGAAAGTGGGTTTGCAGAGCCAGAGGTGTTTATGTAAATACAAGTCCCCACCCCCGTCCCTGATTGGCCTGTCCTCATGCAAATGAGGAGTCCAAATCCTCACAGTCTGATTGGTCCTAAAGGCACTGTCCTGATTGGTCAGAATGGAGCTGCTCTGACTGGGTGGCCAAGATGCTGATGGGGATACAGCTGTGCAGCTCGGAGTTGGGGGAGGGGCAGGGGGTGGAGCCTCAGTCCTATTGGCTGAAACAGGATTCCGGCCCGCTCTCTCAGGGCTGCTGGGGGCGGGGCAGGGACACTGGGCCGGCGGGCAGTTCAGCACCGGCCGCTCCCGGAGGCGGAGGCGCAGGGGGTGTGAGCACGCCTGCTGGGCTGTGCTGTTGCACTCGGGCCCGGTGAGCCCCCGGGAGCCCTTGTGCCCAGGCGTGTCCCTTCTCGGAGTCCGCGCCAACATCGGCCGCTTGCCAGGGCTTCCTCCTGCGCTCCCCGAGTCTAAAGCTCAGAGGGCCACCACGTGGGGGTTGCTGGCGTCCACGCATGAAACGGCGTGAAGACAGCAAGTCGCGCGTCTGGGGCCGTCCCGTTACTAAGCAGCGCAGTCGGGGGCCACCCTCCGGATGCGTGAGAGCGTGTCAGACGTCAGCTGGGGAACCCACGCGGGGCAGACCTACTCCAGACGCGCCAGGGAAAGCGGGGCAGAGCGCTGGGTTGTCCTTAATCCAGGGAGTTGTCCCAGCGATGTTTTCACGTTTCCCAGTTACGTGTTTGGCGACACTTGGACAGCTCTTGTCCAGGCAGAGCCACTACAGCAGTTCCGAGTCAGGAATAAAGTAAGTTTTTTTAAAAATCAATAAAATAAACACCTTAGGCCAAGAGACAGGAGTGCAGCTGACAGGATTTATTAAAAGCGTTCTCTTTGTAACATTTATCGGCGCACACGATCCTGGTAGCAAGCGTATTTCACGCCGCTCATTTGCGAACGGTGCAACTGTTCACTTGGGAGTGTAAACACGTGTGCAACACTGTGCAAAGACTCTAAATGGTTTCTGACCCGTGAAACTGTGGGTGGGGTAACAGGAAGATTAAATACCGCACGTCGAGTTGAGAACCACCCACTGACACTCCAGCAGGTCCCCGGAAACAGGTACGCCCTTCGCCCTTCGGGGAACGCCCTGATACTCAGAGCCCAAGGGCCACTGGGCAGAGCGACCACCACCGGTGAAAGTGCACACAGGACTCCCCGGGGATACAAGCTCAGACGCCAAACGCAAGGCTGGAAGAAGAAAGGGTCCGCCGCGCTGCGCCGCCGTGAAACACCTGGACCCACTGCGCGCGCGCAGTTTGCAGACAGTCGTGACTCCGCGGCCAGGGTTCCCCACAAGCGTCCGTGACAAGGACATCATCACATGCATCCCTTGCGCGCATCCCTTCCCGCGGGTCACGTCGGGGTCCCCCAGCGAATCGCCAGGTGGCTGCTCCATTTTCGCACAGGCTCGCGGTGCAAAATGTCACGCCAGTTCCTTACCAGAAGGTCCCCCAAGCAGAACATCCCCTCTATTGACTGTGGATACGAAGGTTTGTTAAAACCCTGGCGCAGCACACGGGTCTCATCTTCATCGAAGCGCGTGAAGACACGGCCCCGCCTGTGTCTCGCGGCCCCGCCGAGAGCCGGGCGTGACCGCGGACACGGCCCCTGGTTTGACACCACAGTCCTTCGGCCCTGCCCCGGGATGGACGGCGAAGTCCCCTGCCGCGCCGGGGAGCCCCATCGTTCATAAGTCCGTGCGCCACCACGTGGGCTGGAACGGCAGCGCCGCCCGTGCGCACATGCGCACACCGCTCACTGCGCGCCCGCGGAGGCCAGGGCGGAGGCGGAGCCCGAAGACCGCGCAGCCGGATGGGCCTCGGCGAGCTCCGGGCAGGAGGGAGGGCGGCCACAGCGGTAATGGGCGGCCAATGGACCGAGCAGAGAGCAGGTGCGAAAGACGGGGACCTCAACGTGGAGGCCGCGAGAAACCAGAGGAGCGCCGCTCGCGCAGCGTCGATTCCTCCATTCACTCTCTTCGCCGCGATGTCTCTGCGGTGAGCACCTATTGAACCGGCTCTGGGAACGCGGGGGGGCAGCGCGTCCCAGCACCTAAAGCAGGTCCCCATGGCACTCGCCACCCAAGCCCCGCGGGAGGCCCGCAGCCGACCAACAGCCTGGAAACGCTGCCAGCCACTTCCCGCTGGGCAGCATCTCCTGCAGAAGGAAGGCGGACACCGCATCCCCAAGCCCACACGCCGCTCACACCCACTGGGTCCTGCTGGGCAGGCAGCCCTGAGGGGCCCTCGGGGCGCTGGTGGGCAGCTCGTAGACACGCTTGGGGACGCCCTTGTGCCCGCCAGAGCCAGGCCCGCCGGCCCAGGACGGCTGCTGCCCCGCTCCGCCAGTCCGATGAGGGGCCTCCCCGGGCGCTGGCGAGGCAGGTCTCTCTTCAGGCTCGAAGCAGAGGAGGAGCGACTGGGCCTCGGATTCCAGGTCCCTGCAACTGGCCACCGAGGCGGCACCCATGTCCTCAGCCACACCCCGGGCCATGCTGCAGACACTCTCCACGCAGGTCCTGAGGAGGTCCGCATCGCCGCTGGGCCCTGCGCGGGAGAACGACAAGCTCACTGAGCCCCCCACCATGCACCGGGCAGGCGTCTCCCCGGGCCGCTGGGGCCCGTCTCACCCGTCTGAGCCAGTGGAAGCGTGTGGCTGTTCTAGGGGCTGAGCCACCCAGGGGGAGCAGGTGCGCCGGGGTGGGCGGCCCCCCGGGGGCCCGTGCTGGTAGTTGGGGTTGGTCAGTGAGTTACGAGTGAAAAGACGGCCGAGACCCCGTCAGCTGCAGCGTGCCGACTGCACCACCAGCCCCGCCGGGAGCACACACCTCTCAGGGCAGAGAGAACCACTTCGGCGGTCTGCTCTAAGCCACGCTCCAGCTTCAGAAATGCGGAGGCACACGCAACCATCCTCTCCAAATCTTCGCACCCAGAACGGCCTCCCTGTGCTTGAATTCTGGAACACTGCTGTGCGGACAGAGGTAGCGTTGGTGAAAACACGGGCGGGCTGCAGGGCGTGAGGCTCGGCGTGGCTGTAGCGCCAGAGTCTCGTCCTCCAGAAGGAGGTGAGCCCGACTCTGTCCCTACGAGCAAGACCAAAGCACGACAGTAACAGGTACTGTTTTCAAAAGAAGTAAGAATTCTCCATTTACTTTGCACCAAAGTCCAATCACCCATCACAGGAGAATGGACTAAAACAACCGCACCACCATTATCTACTATCACGAAACATGAATGTATTCCATCGTTAAGTTTAACTCTGTATCTGCCGTTTGTTTTACTTAAATGCAATTTCTCAGGCCATAAGCAAACTTCTCCCCCTTCTAACACGTGGATTGCATACTTAGTTTGCATTGTCCGTGCACCTGGGACACGGGAAGGAAATGGTCTGTCCCGCCCACCTGCGGTCTGGAAGCTCTGGGCACACTGGCCACCAGACACGCGGTCCCAGCCCACCGTGACCGTCCGGGCGGACGCTGGGCTTCACTAACCCGGGCGGGGAGAGGCGGGCACATCAACCTCAATCCCGCCCACCCGACGGCTCGCCCGTCACTGACCTGGCAGCCACACGTCCGGGGGGCGCGGCCGAGGTGACCGCCCTGCCTGTGCGTCCCCGGCTGAGGGTGAGACCGGCAGTCCGCCTGACCAAGCCGGCCCCCGGCGAGAGGCCGCCACCCTGAGCGAAGCCCCACGGAAGACGGTGGGGGGAGAGCGGCCCTTACCGTTTTCCACTCGGCGAAGGCGTGCCCGAGGGACCCGGTGAAGGCCGCGGCGCGGGCGCTCCTCTGCCGGGCGACCTGCGGAGAACGTCAGGGGTCTTGTCACTGCACTGGGGCTCCGGGAGCCTCAGACCCCTGCAGCCCCGTGGGGCCAGGCAGGGGCCGGGCTCTGGCGTCATCACCGGGACCACAGCTGGACAGCCAGTGGGCCAGGGGTCTCCGCCTCAGCTGACGGACAGCAGCAGGACAGAGGGAGGGGGCAGAGACGGGCTGACACGTGGTCACAGCAGCAAGACTCCAGACGAGTCTCTGAAACTCCCAGCCGTGAGACTGGCCTCCAGCCCACCCACCGCACCTCTCGGTGAAGAGAGCAGTGCGGGCCGGCGGCTCCCAGCCCCATTCGGACCCCACGCCGGGCCCAGCGCGGAGCCAGCGGGAGGCGCAGCCTGGCTCAGGGCCTGGACAGGACCCCAGCTTGTGACCCGTGGGGACGCCAGGCGTCCTTGCCTTGCAAAGTGATGAGACTCAGAAGTGACAGGCTCGCACCTGAGACAGAGGTGTTGGTTCCTGCGTGGGACAGTGAGGAGGCGGGCCAGAGGGTGAGTGACGACCAACAAGTGCCACCAGGCCCCAAACACAGGCCCCGGGCTCACAGCCAGCCCTCCCCACGCCCCCCACCCCGGACTGCGTGGGCCTGACTTTCAGGTGGGGGACGTGGCCCAGAGGCCCAGTGCAGGGCAGCGGGGGTCCTGGTCCTCCTCGGTTCTGGGCGGACAGGCCTGAACAGACCGGTGGGAACCCCAGGGGTGGATGGACACGTGGTAGTTTGCACTGACATGGGAAAGCAGAGGCCGAAACAAAAGGGGGGAAAAAAAAAGACACAGCAAGTGACCACCAGGGGTCACTGCCGCTCCACCTGCGGAGGCCGCAGGGCCTACAAAGTGACAACCAAAGGGCAGCAGCAACTCCAGGGCATTCGGGGCACCCGGCACGGTGATGCCAGCAGCCCCTTCTCCAAAAGAACAACCTGACACACACTCAACTACGTACGTCTGTAAAAACCTCACTCACGGAGCTGCACCGTTTCTAAAACATCAGCGTTCTCCGCCGCCCGCCCTCTCACCTGGCTCTGCGGGCGCGGCCGCAGGAGCTCGCGCCGCAGCGCCTCCGCCTTCTCCAGCCCCCGGCCGAGCAGGAGGCTCAGCCCCGAGCCCACGCCGTCCCGGACGGCGTCCGCGAGATCCTCCTGGGGGGTTCAGATGTTTTAAATCTGTTAAGTGATGGCTGTGTTTCCTGTCTACTTTAGGAGTTAGCCCATTCCAAGCTCATGGAGCCCGGCTGACGCCGGATGGGGACTAGCAGTCAGTCCAGTAGGGAGGCGAGCCAGCCAGTCTGCCGCCGAGGGGCGTGTCCTCTGCCGCTGAGGGGCGTGTCCCCTGCCGCCGAGGGGCGTGTCCCCTGCCGCAGGGGCGTGTCCTCTGCCGCCGAGGGGCGTGTCCTCTGCCGCAGGACGCGGCGTTGCCAGGACACCATGGCGGCCGGTGCTGTCTCCACCGCCTGGGTGGTCCGAGCCAGCGGACGCAAACTCCCAGGATAGCAGCGTCCTTCTGGCTGACCAGCCGGGCAAGGCCCCCTGGCAGACCGTCGCCACCCGCCACAGTGCGCGAGCTGGGCGGGGACTGCAGAACCGCCCGCACGCCACACGTCCGCTCACCTGGAGGCCGGCGTCCGGGGCCCCGCGGTCCCCCGGGAGGTGCAGGTCAGTCCCGCTGAGAGCCGCCAGCTGTCCCACACACTTGGCGGCCTGTCGCACGGCCCGGGCGACTCTCTGCTGAGCGTCCTCCACCACCGACGAGAGATCTGAGCAGCAGCCCTGGGAGGTGGCGACCGGCCGAACAGCCAGCGCACGCGAGGGCGGAGGGGAGGAGGGCGGGGGGAGAAGTGAAGGAAACAGACTCTGCATGGCCGACGCCGCGGCTGTGCCTCACGCACGTCTCCGCCAGGGGCGGGCCAGCCACGGCCGCCCTCGCTGGCGGGGTGACCAGGACACACGGCCCCTCTTCCCTCCGGGCGTCACCGCGAGCAGGCCACACGGCACGTGCGCAGCAACCGGTGGTGACGCGGACTGGCAGCGAGCGCCCAGAGGGCACGGAACGGTGGCTCTCCTGCCCTTTCCTGTCCCGACAGCCGCCTGACGGTGGCGGATAAAGCCATTCCCTGGTGTCCAGGAGAAGGGACGGGGAGAGGGGACAGGAGGGACAGAAGGGACACCCCTTCTGGGGGGGCTTGTGCACGGGCGTGCGCACACCCAGGAGGGACACGAGGCCTCTCCCGGGCTGCTGCCCACTGCAGAGACTCCGAGCGTCTCTCAGCCTGTGTTCTAGAACATTTTTCACTGTGAAACCTCTCTCTTAGGGCCACAGGCCTCCACCCCTAAGTCAAGGTCAGAGTGTCCTTCCTGGAGAGTGACAGGGAGAAACTGCAGGCCGGGGACCCTCGTGGGTGCGGTCTCAGAACGCCACACCCCCACCCGCTCAGCGGCCCGGCCCCCAGGCACCGTTCCGTGTCCCAGGGGAGGGGACCAGGGATGGGAAACACAGGGCGGTTCGCCTGAGCACCCGGGACGGGCCCCCTCCTGCCAGTGGGGGTCGGGGCTGAGTCGTGTGCTGTCCCCTCTGCACCCTGAGAGCCGGCTCGGTGGCTGCCCCCTGGTTCCTGCCCCAGACCCCCCTCAGCCGCTCCCTCCCGGTCTCAGGCCTCAGCTGGACCACAGTCCCACCCCCCAGCTCTGCACCCCCCACCCCCCTGCCGCTCTCGTCTGGAGATGCGGACAGGACAAAATCAATGAGCGCTTCACACGACGACCAGCAAGTCAACTCACCTGCAGAAACACCTGCAAGTAGCTGCCCAGCCTCCTCACCTCCGTCCTCAGCTCGTCCCCCAGCCTCGCTGCGCCTGGGCCGGGAGGGGCGTCGCCTGGCCAGTGCGTGGCGAGCACGGCGAGCCGCCCGAAGGCACAGGCGACCCCGGCCGCCCGCGCCTGGGTGGCGCAGTCGGAGGAGAACACTTGGAAAGAAGGGGGAAGTCACGGGAAGGCCCCTCCGCACCGCAGGGCTTGCACCGCACCCCTCACGCACTCAGCACGGGGAAGGCGCGGCGGCTGCTTACGGTCGTCCTGGCCGTCCTCGTCCTGGTCCGCGTGAGCCCGGGCGATGGCGAGCAGCCCGCCGTAAACGTCGAGGAGGTCTCGCACCAGGCTGTCCGCCGCCGTCCTGTCCTCGTGACTCTGCCCGAGAACGGCCAGCGACGAGCCGATGACGTCTCTGCAGATCCCGGGGAGGCGGGGTCCGGAGGAACCGCAGTCCGCGCAGCCCGCCTCCTCCGTCGAGCCTGTTTGGACAGAAGACGCCGTCGGCCTGCCTTCCTGCACTGCACCTCGAACAGACGCGCGCACGCAAGGATGCGCGCACGCAGGGATACGAGCACGCAAGGACGCGCGCACGCAGAGATGCGCGCACACAAGGACGCACGCACACAAGGATGCGCGCACGCAAGCCCACTTCGGAACGAGCTGCCAGGCTCGCTCCGGTCCGTCCCGGTTCCTGGACGCCACGGCGGAGACGCGGTTCCCTGAGAACTGGTCACCCACGGACGACACCCGTCCCCGCCACTGCGTGAGTGATGGGGAACGCGACCAGCCCGTGGGCCCTTCAGGTCACGAACGGCCTTCTTCACTCGCCTCTCCGTGAGGCCCAAGAAACCCAGCCGGTGAGAACCCTGCAGCTACGCCCAGTAACGCAAAGGTGGTAAAAACAGGCTGGAGCCGGCGGCTTCCCGCAGCCGACACCTCGCACCCCGGGAAACGTCCGGACCACGAGCAGGCGGGCGAGCCTGGAAGAGCCCCCCCACCCCACATCCCGCACCGCGTCTCGGGAAGGAGCGCTACCCCGGACCCGACGCACGAGCGAGACCGCGCTCTGGTCCAGCCCGCGGGTGAACAGAACCAGCAAACTCAACGGAGGGTGGAGGAAAGCACGAGTGGGGGCTGGGAGGAGCGTGGAACAGACGGGGTGCTGCCTCCCACGCTGACACGAGTTCACAGAGCCCCCCCTCTCCAGGGGGCGAGCACGGCGGTCAGCACGGGGGGCGGGGTGTGCTGGGCAGAGCGGTGGGTCCTGTAACGGCTCCTCGCGGAGGTTTTGGTACCTGAAGTCATTCCGGAGCCGACAGCTGCACGCGGCACCCAACGCAGGAGCAGCCCCCGGTGGGGCAGAGGACGCTCCCTGCCCGGCCCCCACGTCCGGTGACAGTCCGGTGACAGCACTGGGGCGCACACCTCCCTCCCCCTCCCCCCCCAGGTGACGGCAGATAACCCCCTGCTCTTGGCTTTTTCTCACGAGAAGGTCATAATCTCGTGCGTCTGTGCGCGCGCACGCCTTCCACCCTGCAGCCAGCCACGCCGCTCAGGCGCGGAGGCAGACCACACAGCACGGAATTTTATGGCGGGGGCGGGGGCCGGCAGCCCATCCCTCACCGCAAAGGCGGCGGAAGCCTCGAGCTGAAATCACTGGCTCCGGGTCGTGGAACGTGGGGGTGGGGAGCCGGGACTCGGCGCTGTCCTCGGGTGCGGGAGCAGCCGACGGGAACGTACCTGGTGCACGGGAGGGAGGCGGCTTCCGAGCGGACTGGGCCTGGACGCCGTGCAAGTAGCCGGAGACCCTCCTGTTCTTCACCAAGCTCCTGCTCCTGAGCGAGGAGGACACCCGGCGTTAGCGGCCCCGGCACGCGAGGCGCCGCGATAGCACATTCGCTCACAAACTCGCTCAAGAAAAGGGGTGCGCGTGTGCGGACTCTGCACGGACACATTTCACCGAGGCTTCCATCCACCGGGCTCCCGGGGGGGAGTGTCACTGCCTGCAGGCTCCGTCCGGGGCACGGAGCCGGTCGGTCATGCCCGGGGAGGCCGGAGCGCTGCCGGGTCGGACCGCGCTGCCCCGAAGACCCGCACACCGGGACCGCGGGCACTCCGCTCCCACGCAGACGGGCGAGCGAGCGGGCCGCGTCCGGAGCGCCGCGACCGAATCAGCGACAGGCATCGCCGACAAGCCCCTCCCGCGGCAGACGGCCCCTCCCGACTGAGGACGCGACCGCGTGCACGCCCAGGACCCGGAGGCCGGAAACGGAAGTGTCCTCACCTCCTCCTCGACAGCGAGGAGACCGGGACCCCCGCGAGGTCAGCCTCCCACTCGTCCTCGGGGTCGCAGAAGAGGTCCTCGCCCTGGCTGGTGCAGCCACTCTGCGAAAACAGCGGACACAGTGCCTGCTCGTGGGGAGTCTAAATACGGCTAACACTAAGAAAACATTCTAAGTATTTTCTTACACTTAAAATGTAAAATCAGCAAAAGTACAGGTCATCTGACAAAAGTCCAAAAGAGATCACATTCCTGGTCAAATAAAAAAATCAATTATGTAAGGCTAGGATTTATATCAATGATCTACTGCCCTGGCTGGTGTGGCTCCGTGGATTGGGCAGCAGCCTGCGAACCAAAGGGTCACCGGTTCAATTCCCAGTCAGGGCCCAGGCCTGGGTTGCGGGCCAGGTCCCCAGTAGGGGGCGCACAAGAGGCAACTGCACACTGATGTTTCCCCCTCTTTCTCCTCTCGCCTCTCTCTAAAACTAATAAGTAAATAAAAATAAAAAGAGATCTATTAATGGCAGCAAGGGAAACCATCCAGTAACTCAGAACTAACAAACGTGTGATTTACAAGACAGAGAGGACACAAACAAGGAAGCCCCCGGGGGGGAAGTGAGACGATCCTGGGTCGAGAGCCAGCTACTGGGCGCACACGCCGACCGTGACGACAGCGTGTGCTCTAACCCCACCGACCCAGTTCTGACGGAGCGCTCGGCAGCGCCCGCTTCAGGGAGGCACGCGATCTCGAGGAAAGGTGAGTGACGGACGTGGCGGTCAACAGCTGAGACCAGGGCAGGGGTGGGGACGAGGGCGGCTCGCCCGCCAGGGCTCGGTGCCACGCCGAGGCGAGAGTGACCGGATGGCCTCGGTGCGGTCGTCCCCTGTGCAGCGGCACACGCGAGGCACACTCGGCGTAGAAGTGCAGCAACGACCCCCTCGCACCCACACAAAGACGAGCCGGAGCCGCCCACCGCCTCGGCACCGGACAGAGAAGCCCAGCCCTCCCGCAGCGGGGTGGCCCCATGGGGTGTCTGCCTGCACACCCTGCCCCCGGCCCGGCCAGGCGCCTTCTGAGCCCGTGTTCGGGTGTGACCAACTGGCTCCTGCAGCCCCCCTGACCTGTCTGGCCGGGCCCTGTGCCCGTGGGCTCCTTCCGACCGAGCACCCGGTACCGCCTGCCAGGCAGCGGTGGCACCGCCGTCACCTGCGAGGCCCCCGGACCGCTCACGGGGCACCTGTTCTCGGAGGGTCCGAGGGGCTTCCTCATGAACCTGCCTGGGACCCGCCCCTTTCCCACCTTTGTTTTGTTTTGTTTTTGTGGCCAGTTGCTGACAGACCCCTCGGTTTACTGCAGGGCCGTCACCGGTTAAATCGGCTTCCGGAGTTCCCCCTGTACTACGTATGAAGCCTTTTCTTCCTGGAGAACGACCACGTCCGCCAGCACACAGCAGTGGGTACGTGACACGGCTCTGAGAGGCCATCACGCTCTCCACCGCGAGGCCGCCAGCGCCCTCGCCCAAAGCCCCACGTGCACCCTTCCGAGCACCCGGAGCCCGAGTGGGCTGGCTTCCGAGTGGGCTGGCTTCCGGGTTGTCAGCTGTCGCCTTTAGTTCCATGGTCCTCGCATTTGCCGTCCTCTGGTTTATTTTATTGTTTTCCAGACTGAACACACACTTCTCCCACAAGGAAACAGTCAAATCCCCAGACTCGCCAGTTATTAAATGCAAGCTAAAACAAACTGGTAAAACTGGTAAAGGGCAACACTTTTGGCAATCAGATCTTGAGCATGAAAGTGTGATTGAAATTTCAGGTTTTGGGCGCAGTTTTAGAAGGCGGAAGACAGGAAATAAGAGATTAAAGTGATCACGTGCTGAGGTATTTTTACGGCGGTGACCACGGACACAGCACACCCCAGACACCCGCAGCTCAGCCCGGGGGGCGCGGGGCACTGGGCGCTGCCCTCATTCGACCCAGCACAGACGGCTCCGTCCCCACCCCTCCCTCCTTGGGCCAGAGTGTCAGAGCCGCACGGTCACGAGTGGACAGGCGCAGCACGAAACCCTTCTGTTACCATAGTTACAGTGACGCCAGCCAGGAAACCCCTCTGCAGGCAGAGGCAGACGCCAGCGGCTGTTAATACCGGCCAGTGTGGGCACGTGACCTGCCTCTTCTCTGCCAGACTTTCTTTCCTGAGAACCTGTCAGTTTTACACTTTTTGTTTCAGAGGGTTCAGGGGGGTTTCAGTAATGCTCGCACCTCGTAAAGCTCCTTCATTGCGGCGAGCTTGGACTCGAACTTCTCCAGGCTCCAGACGGTGGACACGCCCAGGCTCAGGTTCCGCACCCGGACCCGGGCCTCGGTGCCGCAGCCTCCGTCCAGCGGCTCGTGCCTGCAAACACCAAGGAAGGGTCCCCCTGAGACACCCCCATCACGACGCCCGGAGCTGTCTGATGGGAGGGGCTTCCCCAGAAACATGGCCCCCGATTAACTCTTTCCACAGGTAAGCGGGTTCATTACCGTGAAATCGTGTCTAAAACACATGTCTAATGGGGAAATTCCCTTTAAAATGTGAAATTCCGATGGAGTTCCACCTCCACAGGAAGCTTGTGAGCCCTGAGCTCCGCTACTGCCCTTTCAGAAGCCCCGCCCAGCCCCGCCCTGCCCGGCACACCCCGGGAGGGTCTGGGGGGCTGCCCCTCACGCCCGCTGCTTCCCAGACGGCGCTGCGGAACCCCGGGTCTTTGGGGAAACCAAGGACACAACCACTTAGAGAAAACACGGAGGTAAGGCACTTCCAGACAGAGACCGGGGAGGTAAGGCACTCCCAGACAGAGAACCACCCCACGCTTGGGACAGCCGCTCACCCACCTGCCGAACTCGAGCCGGCTGCGGAGCCGGCTGCCGATGGCGTTGGCCTCCTGCAGCATCAGGGAGAGCTTCAGGGCGCCCCAGCCGGGCCGAGCTGCGGGGCGGGGGCGGGGGGACGCACAGGCGTGAGCACAGCTCTGCCCTGCGGGGAGGCGTCCACTCTCCACGAGCGGCTTCAACCAAGGGTCACACGGGCAGTGAGGGCAACGTGGGGTCACCGTCCTTCGCCCTCGTGGGAGAAACGGCATCGCCTTCCCGTAAAGCGAGGTCTTTCCCCGGCGGAGGCCAGGGCGCACTGGAGGCTGCTCAGGGTCGCACTGCCCAAGGACAGGAGACGCCACAGACCGCCCTCCTCCCTCCAACACACTTGAGGACCCTCCCCCACCCCCGCCCCCGATCACTGCAAAGTGCTGCAGGCTCGCTAATGCACAGCCGCAGTCCTCTCCACAACAGCCTGGAGACCTAAAAGAATGGATACACTCACAACCAGGAGGTAAAAACAATGGAAAAGAAAACAGTTTAGTCCACGACTCCACTCTCCTAATTTAAATGTGAGATTTTATCGTTAGTATTTTTCATATTGTTCAGTCAAACCTACGACCAGGGTTCCACCGTGAACACTTCTTTGGGAGAAAGGAATTCACTATCTACGTGAATTTAAAAAACCAAGTGTTCACTGCAAGACTGGTTTAGGCCCTAGGAGAAATAAAATATGTACCGACACAACGTATTTCACTGTTTCTTGCAACAGAGAGGGAATTAACAGTTCGAAAGTAATTTAAACTCGGGAGCCGCAGAGGGCATCTCGCACAATGAGACCGTCTGTGGAAACAGCCATGCCACCGCCCTGCGCCGACAGCGGCCCCCGGCAGGGAGCACCAGGGCCAGGCTGTCCTGCAGCCCCGGGGAGGCGCTGCCCCGGCCTCTGTGAGCCACCACGCCCCCCCCGCCCCCCGCCCCCAGACCCCTTCAGGGAGAGAAGGACGCGGCAGGGACCTGGAGGTAAGACACGGTGGGCGGGCCGCGCTTGCAGCCCGAGTCAAACCACCAAATATTGAAAATGCTTACGGAATCACCCAGGAAAGTTGAATATGGACCAGGTACTGAACCAGTGTGAGAAGTTATTAATAGTTCATGTGCGGTAATAATGCCGAGGTTACGCCTCAAAGAGCAACAGAAGAGAAGGCTCTCGTCTGACGCGGAGACACAGTGAGGTGCTCGCGGGCCGAGTGGCCCGAGGCTGGGGCGTGCTGCGCGGAGGCCCGGGGGCCGCGGGGGCCTGGGGACCACGGGGGCGGGGCCAGGGTGACGTCAGACCGGACGCTGCGGAGGGCAGCCGGCTGCCTGGCGAGCACTCGGGGGGCTTCCTGCAGTGAGCGCTGTGCTTTCCATACGCGAACAGCGGTTGCAGTAAAGACGCGTGCGTCCCACACAGAAACGCACACAGAAACGCCGTCGACGCGGGAAAGAAGTCGGAGCGCCCACAGGCACGAGGAGAGCTGAGGACTGCGGCCAGGCGTCTTAGAAACACAGTGCACCCGACACAGTGCTGCAACCGTCTCGGCTACCTGCTCACAGAACTGTTCCAAATACGGGCATTTTAAAATGATCACTCACACGTTTTAGATGCGGAAGCCAGCAACATCTGGAATGAAACGCTTCTAGTACATGAAGGCAACTCACGCTAACCCCGTGGTGACCAACCACACGGAAGGGCCGCCCGCTCGGGCATCTCGCGCACACCTGCGGGAGCCCGGTCCCTGCCGCTCCGGCCGCGCTGCAGCACCTGCACCTCCTCGGCCAGTTTCTGCTTCTCGGCCTCCAGGGCTTCCAGGATCCTCGCGTGGCGGACGCTGTGGTCTTCCAGAGCCTGTGGACACGTGCACCCCCCGGACCCGAGCGTGAGCGCGCAGGGGACCGCAGAGCCGGACCCCTCACCCCAACACACTACCGTGAACCACGATTTACACACGCTTTGTTAGCACAGAAGGCCATTAGAAATATATCAAGTATCTTTACGAGATGATTTTCCAGTCAACAAGGCCACACTTCAGGCACCGCCAGATGCTGCACCTGCCCTCAGAGTCCCCGCACCTGTTCCGAGTCCCCCTGCACCTGTTCTCAAAACCCCCACTCCTGTCCTCAGACCCCGCTCTGCACGAGGCCTCGGGACCTGCGTTTCTAGCAGGGGCCTCGGGCGCCGCTGGCCTAGGGACCCAGGTCAGAGACCCACCGACGTACAGAGGAAGAGAGGCCAGAGGGTTGACAGAAAGGTGACCCTGTGGGCTGTGAACTTGGCCCCTGGAGGAAGCTCCGCCCCCTGAGCTGACGGAGTGCCCACGAATGTCCCCTGGAGCGACCCGGCCGGGCAGGCTGTGTCCCCTGACAGCGGGGCGGGGGGCCGGGTGACGGAAGCTCCAGCCGCCACGGGACACTCGCCTGCTTGGCAGCCAGACTCTCCACCTCCAGCCGCTTCCTGCTGACGTGCACCTCCTGCTCCAGGCGCTGCTTCGCCCGCTCCAGCTCCTCGATGCGGTGGGCAGCCTTCCGGTTACTCGCCTCCTGCGTCTCCTTCCTCTGGGACTCTTCCCTCTTTAAGGGACGACAGTGGAGACAACTGGGCAGAAACACAAGGCATCTTTCAAAAGTACCCCCAACAGACGGCTGGCCGGCCCTCCGCCGGGTCCCTGGGGCAGCGGGCTTGCGTGGCTGGAGGCCAGCCCCTCGGACGCCGGCCCCGGCGCGTCCCCCGCACGCACTGAGGCCGTGGGTGAGCGGACGGACCCTGACGGGCGCGGCAGATGGGACTGACGCGTCAGAGGGAAAGTGATGCGGGTCCAGAAGCCTCCGGTCTGCCCCCCGCGGCCGACCCCCTGCTGTGGACGTGCCGCCCCCACGACGCCCTCTGCAGCCGCTCGCAGGGACAGGGGTCACCGGGGTGGACGGGAGGAGAGAGCCCGCCGTTACCAGCTGCGCCTCCAGGGCCTCGATCCTGCGCTCGTAGGCGGCCCGCTGCTCGGCGAGCTCGCGCGCGGCCACCTCCTGGGCGATCTGGGCGCTGCGCAGCAGCTCCTGCTTGGCTCGCAGCCGCGCCTCCCTCACCTCGGCCTCCAGCCTGCAAAGCACAAGCCCCGGGTGTCCTTCACCGGCCGCCACCGCTGCGGTTCCCAGTTCAGAGCTTTCTCAGCCACAGCCCCGTCCACGTGGCTCTGGTGGCGTCAGGGGCACGCGCAGCCATCAGACGGCCACTCCTACTGCCGCGCCCCCTCGCGTCTCCAACGGCGGCGCAAACCTCGGAGCCGGACCTCCTGCTCGCCATCGGCGGTGCGTTCACACTGCCGCCGGCTGGACAGCCGTTTGCACAGAGACCACAGAAGAGGAGGAGAGTGTGCTCGCGTGCCCCTCAGCCGCTGCCTCGGACGCGTGAGCACACACCCCGCTCTCGTGCCAAGGGAGGCAGCCCCGGGGCGCGGGCAGCAAGGGCGCGAGTTGACACTCCAGCGGACGCCCCCAGGGGGCGCTCTACGGCAGGGGCAGCACCGCGTCCACCAGTGTCCTGCGCGTCCGGGCCTCGGACGAGGAGAGGACCGAGGTGGCCGCGCACGCACAGGACACGGGTGACAGCGTGGAGCCCGTGCGCAGCCCGGACCGTCTGCAGTCGCGCGGCAGCCACCGTGCTGACTGTCCCTCAATGTCACTGCCCCTGAGCACAGGACACTGCCTCCCTCTAGTCGCGCCTTGACCGCACACGGTGGCTCCCCTAAAAACGTGACTCTCCTTGTCTGTCTCACGCCTGCCTAAAGTGCCCGAGCGACCCCACGTCCTTGAAGACAAAATCCAGACTCAGCCCCTCCTTCGGGCCCATCTCACCGCGGAGCTTCCGAGGCCGCTGTTTCGACCCCACCACGCTGCCGGCAGGAAGGAACTGAGGGGCAGCCCGCCCCCCCCCCAGCCCCCGGAGACCCCTCACCGCCCCAGACCCACGACAGCACTCACTCCTCTCGCTGGGCCGCAAGCAGCTCGTTCTTGGCGAATTCGAAGTCCTCCCGGCCCTGGCGTGTGGGGGTGTCCGCCCCGGCCGGCCCCTCCCCGGCCTGGACTTCTGCCGGGTGGTTGAGCCTGAAGTAGTGGTCCCCCCCGAGCACCACGCGGTCACCCTAGAGCGCACACGAGAGTTACTGCTGGAGGCGAGAGTGGCCCGGAAACCGCTGGGACGAGCCGACACGCTCGGGGCCTGCACGGAGCCCAGCGTCCGTGCGAGAGACACGAGGACCACGGCCACCACCACCCGTCCACGCTGTCTTCACGCCAGGAACCGCGGGGCCCCCGCCACACACACGTGTCTCCCGTGCGCCTCCCGACAGCCGGTCGTCACCGGCTTCGGGGCGAGGAGACTAGAGCGCAGTGGCAGGCTCGCCGTGGGCGCCCTCCCGCAGACGCTGAGTCAGCACCGGGCCGAGGTGCAGGCCCCCTCTCGCCCCGGCAGACGGACGGGCCGCACAGGGCATTCCCGGGCCGAACCGCAAAGAAACGGAGCGGCGCCGGCCCGGAGCCCGGCACCCTGTCCCACCCCGGCGCCCGCCCACTTACATGGTGCAGCTCCGTGGGCTCCAAGAGGAGCCTGCCGTTCACGTAGGTCTTGGCCTCCCCCAGGGGGACGAGGCTCACAGCCCCGCCGACGTGTCGGATGGTGCTGTGGGAGAGACGCAGGCTGTTGCCACGGCGGCGCGGAGGGCAGAGTGGGGCGGAGGGAGCGGGCGCTCGGGCTGTCCGCCCGGGTCAGGGCCCAGACCCTTCACGACAGCAGTGACACGAGATGCCCCCCCTCTGACCCGACTCCGGGGTGTTGCCGGGAAGGCCTGGCCTCCCCCGCCCTTCGCCCACCGGGCAGGGAGGAAGGGCAGTACCTGCATTTTCAGCATAACTGCTTTAAGAAAACACCCAAAACAGAGAAAATTCAACAAAAACATTAAAATATCGATAATGGTTTACCGCTAAATGGAACAGATTTACAGTGTTCCTGTTTTTTACGTTTCTGCCTGTCCGGGCTGACACAGAGTCGTGATAACGGAGCAGGTGTCGCGGCGGGCGGGGGGGGGGGCCGGGGGGGGGCGGGGAGACGAGGGCCCCCGGCCGAACCCAACTGGCAGGTGAGACCCTGCGGCCGCAGCTGCAGACGCTCGGTGGTCCTCTGGGTCATCTTGTTCAGAGCACAGGAGAGAAGCCCCAGAGTCCAGCCCATCTCTGGACTGACGGGGCGGGAGAGGAACGGGGAAGCGGTGGCCCCCCCACTCTGGGCCGCGCTCTGTGTGAGCACGGCTGGTCACAGAAGCAGCGATGTCCCCTAAGAACACACGGGGCCCCGGACAGGTCACACGCGTGCCACCGCCCCCACAGCAGCTGCCACCGGGCGGGCGCAGGGGCACAGAGCACACACGGCACGGAGCTCCCCGCCGGTCCGCCCGCCCAGGCCCTCGGTCCCCCGCCTGTGCCCGCGGTGCCAAGACAGCCCGTCCCCCCCGCCAGTGGGCGGCCTGAGACACGGTGAGGGTGTCGTAACTTCACGCCCCAGCCCGTCCTCACAGGGCCCTCGGACGTCATTTCCTGCGAGAGCTACGAGTGAGGGAAGACCCCAAGGTTCAGCACCCCCCGCGCCTCGGACCGAGATCTGGGCGCTGACGGGAAACCGGCCAGGTGCCGAGTTTTCTGAGAGGCGGACACTTACCAGTGGTCCTCGGCCACCAGCACCCCAGACAGCCGGATGTCGGGGCTGGAGGTGGGGCCGCCCTTGCCCACGGTGGTGGTGCCTTCTTTTATCACGTAGAACAGCGTCTCGGACAGCTGGGGGTCGGCACTGAGGTTGACCAGGCTTGGCGAGCAGGTGTCCATACGGAAGGCGATGCCTGCTTTCTGGTGGGGGGCAGAGAGGAAGCCAACCGTGACCCCCAGCACAAAGCTGCGAAGTCCCTGAAGGAGGAGGAAGGCTCCCCACGCCGGCGCAGCAGAAGCGTGTGGCGAGCAGCGGCCCAGCTCGCTCGTCTGGGCGCTACCTGTCCGGCGAGCTGACCGCCAAAGCAGTCGCACCCTCACTGGCCCGCGGCACCCTGGCCCCCACTCCGGCCCTTCCTCCTGCACGTCGGGGCGCGGCACGCACGGATCTGCCGGCGACCGCACCTTCTCCGTCGGCGAGAACGGGGAGACCATACCTGTAACTCCTTCATTTCCTCATGCTTTCTCCTTTCCGCTTCTTCAAATTTTTCTTTCCACGCCCTTTCCAAAGACAAACAAAATAAAACAGCTACAAACACATACAGGTATATTTACGTATACGTGGTTAAGAATCAACAGACAGTCCGCAAGGGTTAGGAAACCACTGCGGAAGGACCGAGGTGGTCTGGAGGTGGCTGCTGCGTTCCCGTGGGGAGCCGGGAAGGACCGAGCGCGGACCGCCCCCCGCCCCGCCCCTGGGCACGGCGGCCCCGCCCACCTCTGCATCTCCGCCATGTCCCGCTCCTGCCGGTGCAGCTGCATTCTCAGCGAGGCTACTTCTTGCCGACAGAGCCGGTATCGTTCCGGGTCGATGTTCTGATGGCTTCTTTGAGCCGCTTTCAGCTTTTCAATTTCTGCTTTCAAGTCTAAGTATTTACAGAAACACGCACGACCGGTGATATCTGATCTAGAATAATTCTCGCCGTGGGCACACTCCTCCACCTTCGGCTTCCCTGCCCCCCCCCCCCAGCGTCACCCAGGAACCCCCACCCAGCCTTGACCCGCGCGGGAGCCCGCGCCACGCCCACCTCGGATGAGCTGCGCGCTCGCGTCCTCGTTCACGCGCGCCACGTTGACGATGCTGCGGGCCTGGCGCGCGTAGCGCAGCGTGCTCAGGGTCTCCTCCACGCTGCTGGCGGCCGGGCTGACCGTGGCAACCATGGCCGTCTTCGAGTTGCCGCCCAGGCTCTCCTTCAGCAGCCTTCGGGGGAAAGGCCGTCATTGGGCTTCGCTCGCACAACCCCGTCGGCGACGGTCCGCGCAGCACAAAGCCGCACGCGGGGCCCAGGAGGCCACGCTGCGCTCTGGGCCTCAGCGCGCGTTCCTCCCGGATCTCGCGAGCACTCGGCTCCGCCCGCACCGTGCGCGCGGCTCGGTGAAGCGGCCGTGCGCGCACGGGTTTACACTGCGGGCAGCGCGCAGCCCCCGGCACTCGGTGCCCTGGGCACCTCCGGAAAGGCGCCGGCTGTCTCGGTCACCTCTGCCCAGCGCTACACCACGGCCTTGTGGCGCAGGTAGGTGCCCAGTACGTGGCGAAGATGGTGAACTGAGGGCAGCGCGGTGGCCGCCCGCCTCACAGAGCGAGGCCCGGCCCGGGCGGTTTGGCCCCAGGTTACCCAACGACCCTTTCAAGTTCAAAGGACACTTGCCATGTGAGCACCGACTCGCGGTAGGGGACAAACACCCCCTTCCGGCCTCCGTGTTCCGCAAGCGCGGACACCACCTTGCCCAGGGTCAGCAAGGACCTGTTGATGCTCACGCCTTCCTGTGTGCGGGGGAGAAGCGCGCTTCAGTGCCCAGTCTCTGCTCGGAACGCACGCGCCCCGCAACCGTGCTCCCCCCCCCCACGGCCACCGACGAACCCCTGTCGCCCCCAAACCACCAGCCGTACTGGGCAGCGCTCACCCCAGCCCCAAAGCGCGGCTTTCCCGCCGACCCCGGCGGTGCGGCCCGCCAGCCGCAGGCGGAGGCGGACCTGGTCGTTGATGCGGGTCTACTTCGTTCGGGTCTACTTCGTGCGCAGTCCCCTGGAGACCACGCCCCGGGCGGCGCCCCGCCCCCTGGGGACGCCCCTCACCCTGAGCTGCTGCCCGCAGGTCCCGGCCGGGCCGCAGCGCTCGCTGCCCGCCAGGTCCACGAGGTTCACGCGGCTGGTCACCCTGTGCTCCAGCTCCTCCCCGTCCACACACTCCGTCTGCGGCAAAATGGCATGAAAAGGACACGTGGTGAGTTCCCGTGACTTGCCGTCAACACGAGTCTTCAGAAGGGACAGCTGCATGGGGTTCAAGCCAGCCACTTGTTTCTGAAAGGGTCCCTCCTTGAGCCTGCGCTAAGGGGCCACCCAGAAGGAACCCAGGCTGCGTGCACAGCGCCGGGACCGGCCGGAACGAAGGGCCGGACCTGGAAGGGACAAACCCCGAGGACACAACCACGTCAAGGACACGCCACAGATGGGTTGAAGGGCAGAGGGGTGTGTCCCAGCATTAAAGGGGCAAGGGCTTGAGAGCAACATAAACGCTCCGCGGCAGAGGAGAACCTAAGGAGCTGCCAGTCAGAATATTTGGCAGATGTAAAAAATACTGTGCAAAGAATCGCAGTGGCTGCCAGCTGTCGCGGGCCCTGTGAACTGTTCCAGTGACACAGCTGAGACACAGACTCACAGACGGTGACACAGCTGAGACAGACTCACAGACGGTGGCACAGCTGAGACACACACTCACAGACGGTGGCACAGCTGAGACAGACTCACAGACAGTGACACAGCTGAGACACACACTCACAGACGGTGGCACAGCTGAGACACGGACTCACAGACGGTGACACAGCTGAGACACAGACTCACAGACGGTGGCACAGCTGAGACACGGACTCACAGACGGTGACACAGCTGAGACACACACTCACAGACGGTGACACAGCTGAGACACACACTCACAGACGGTGACACAGCTGAGACACGGACTCACAGACGGTGACACAGCTGAGACACGGACTCACAGACGGTGACACAGCTGAGACACGGACTCACAGACGGTGACACAGCTGAGACACACACTCACAGACGGTGGCACAGCTGAGACACGGACTCACAGACGGTGACACAGCTGAGACACGGACTCACAGACGGTGACACAGCTGAGACACACACTCACAGACGGTGGCACAGCTGAGACACGGACTCACAGACGGTGACACAGCTGAGACACGGACTCACAGACGGTGACACAGCTGAGACACACACTCACAGACGGTGACACAGCTGAGACACGGACTCACAGACGGTGACACAGCTGAGACACGGACTCACAGACGGTGACACAGCTGAGACACACACTCACAGACGGTGACACAGCTGAGACACGGACTCACAGACGGTGACACAGCTGAGACACACACTCACAGACGGTGACACAGCTGAGACACGGACTCACAGACGGTGACACAGCTGAGACACGGACTCACAGACGGTGACACAGCTGAGACACACACTCACAGACGGTGACACAGCTGAGACACACACTCACAGACGGTGACACAGCTGAGACACACACTCACAGACGGTGACACAGCTGAGACACACACTCACAGACGGTGACACAGCTGAGACACACACTCACAGACGGTGACACAGCTGAGACACGGACTCACAGACGGTGACACAGCTGAGACACACACTCACAGACGGTGACACAGCTGAGACACGGACTCACAGACGGTGACACAGCTGAGACACACACTCACAGACGGTGACACAGCTGAGACACGGACTCACAGACGGTGACACAGCTGAGACACGGACTCACAGACGGTGACACAGCTGAGACACACACTCACAGACGGTGACACAGCTGAGACACGGACTCACAGACGGTGACACAGCTGAGACACGGACTCACAGACGGTGACACAGCTGAGACACACTCACAGATGGTGACGCAGCTCAAACAGCAGTCACCAAAGGTTTAGAGGGGTTTGACTGCAGCAACGGGCCTACGGCTGAGTAAAACCCTTTACTTTCCGATACGACTTTCCAAACACTGTCCAGTGATCCCCGAGCATCACTGATAACGTATCGCCACATACTGATGCAACGTCAGTGACATCACGACCGATGGACAGAACGCTGACTCCGCCCCTGGTTTAGAAAGACCGGGCGGCCCACCTGCGTGCGGGTCACCAGCAGGGACAGCACCGCGTGGGACCGGGAGCTCTTGTCGTTCATCCCCGTGGCGGCCGTGGCCCTCTGCTTGCTGCCCAGCTCCAGCCAGCCCTGGGGAGAGAGGCCGGCGGGGCCAGGTCACACCGGGGGCACGTGCCCGGGGCGCCACGGAGACCCTCGGGGAACGTGCAGCACCCAGCTGGCCGCCCTCCCACCGCCCGTCGTCCGCCTCTGCTCTCGGAACCAGGAAAGGCGACGTCAGGAGGCGGCGTCTGCGGCCCTGCGCTGACTCGGTGGGGCACCCTCACTTCGGTGCAGCAGAGCAGCTCTCGTGAGACACTAACAAGATGAAGCTCTTGCTGACCCAAACGATGGTTAAGGAGAAGCGTTCTGTCTGTGGAGGGACAAAGCACCCCTTACCTGGACGTCGGAGTAGGAGCTCACGGCATTCCTGTGATTAAAAAGCAGGAGGACAGAGTCAGCTGTGCTGCCGGCTGCACTCCGCTCTCGTGAAACGAACCGTGTGGTTTTCCTGGCACAGCGCGGCGCCTCGGCATCTCCACCCGGCAGCGTGCGCAGGTCTCAGGCCTGAGACCACCGGGACACGCACAGCAACACGCACGGCGTGTCTGGGGGGGGGGACCTGGTGCTCGGGGGCCTCCGCACCACCCCAGACTCCCCGGATGAGCCCCGTCCTTCCAGAAAGCTCTGGGAGCGCCGACAGGAGAAGTGAGTGACCCTCGGCCTGTCTCACACTCGGGGCGTGCAGTGCCCCGGAGCCCCCCTCCCCGGTCTGCTTGGAGGAATCGGCACGAGGACTGGAGTGGGGGCGCTGTTTCCCACTCAGCGCAGCGAACGCTGCAGGCCAGGCCTCCGCGGGGGCTGGGCAAGGCCCGCCCTCCGGGCAAACACGCAGCCAGCACGCTACTTACACGGTCAGAGCTTCGACGTACGGCCCGGACACGGGGTGCTCCCTGACGCGCAGCTGCAGGGATCAAGAGGAGCGGCAGTGAGGGTGCGAGACAGTGCACAGGGGACAGTTTGCAGTGGCATTTCCTGCGTCTCTTTAAGTTTAAGGCACAGGTGTGTCCACCTTGCACAGGCGAGACCTGCACACGGGGCCTCACACACGCAGACCCGGGGGCACTGGAACTGCCTCACGCCACGGCCGCCACCTGTGCGGGCCCGGCCGCCGCCCAGTGTCCCCATGGTCCCCGAGTCCCCGCCGTGTGCATGCCGACCTCCCGCGGCAGCTGCCACTCACGGGCCTGACGGGCCTCTCCAGACTGTGCCCCTACAGCCCAGACACCTCACACTGTGTCGGCTTATACCACGCGGCGCACGCGCTGTGACCGGAGATCCCAGCCACGCAGGGGCACAGAGGAGAAGCCCGGGCGGGTTTGCGGCTGGGGGGTTGCCCCGGTCGGGTGGGGGCCGAGCAGGGGCCCCCCTGAAGACGCAGCTGCTCGCTCCCCAAGGCCCTTTTCAGAGGTGGAAGCTTTTAACTCTCACAGCAGCTTTTAAAAAGCCCACGCATTTGCGAAATGTCCTGTTTCCCGGGAAACGCTATCTGCAGGACAGCGGTTCGCCAGACGGTGCGGTGAAATGCATCGCTGCCATCACAGCACGAGTCCCGACAGCCTTCGTGGCCATGTCCGAGTTGCAGACTCTGGGGACCGAGTGTTTCAGTCGTCCAGCCACATCTCGGAACAAGTATTTATCTTTAATTCACACAACGCTTGCTGAAAATAAGGAGGTGGAACTGAATGAGGAACCGAACTCCCACCGTTCACTCGGCAACGACACGGTCAGACGGCAGACCCCGGGCACCGGCGGTCCCACAACGGCACTCAGTGGAGGCCGGGCCCACGTGTGTCATCCTGAGAACGAGTGTAATCGTACGCGTCGTGAAAGCAGAAAGGGAGGACCAGTAACAAACGGCTTTGACCTTACCGGTTGCTTTGTCTGCCCACTTTCACCTTTGCAGACCAGCAGGTCGTGGATTTTTTCGTTGTATATTTCGAAGAAGCTCATCTCGAAGTGGTGTTTGACCTGGTCAGGACAGAGACAGCGTGCAGTTCGTTTCTGAAGTCCGTGCATTCTTTGCAAAGTGCGCCCCTGACAAGGGTCCAGGACCCAGAACGTGTGAAAACTCTGACAACCCAACAGCAGCAAACGGCCCCGTCTGAACGGACAGGCCTCCTTCCACGAGGCCCGAGCGCAGAGAAACACACCCTCCGGTGGGTGAGAGCGAGCCAGCGCCCGGACGTCCAGACCCCTAAGGAGGGTCCTGGCCGGGAACAAAGTGGCCAGTCAGGAAGGGGAGGAAGCGGGGCGGCCGGAGAGGCTGGGGAGGCGGAGAGCGAACGCGGGGCCCCGGAGTGCGGCCACCTGACCCGGGGGGCTGGGGTCTCACGCCAGTGCGGTCCCCGGACGGGGGCCGGAGCCGTGCCCAGACCACGCAGGGCCGGGCGTCAGCCTCTGCTCTGGCCCCACGCGAAGGCCCGCGGGCACCGTGGGAACCTACCTCTGGGGTCTTGGCGACTTGAGCAAAAAGGTCTTCACAGAATCTTGGAATTATTCCTGGTTCTTCACCAAACCCCATCATCCTGGAAAACACGTTGTGAACGGGGCGAAAGTAAAGCTATCCCAGATTTTAAAACTCCTGCTCAGAGACATGGGTTGAGCAGGGCACAGGAGCAGTGAATTAAACTCTGTCATTTGTGTCTAAGGACGGGGGGGGGGCGTGGCTGGGGCCCCATCAACCCAAGTGCGACCTCAATTCTGCCCTCGTCAGCTCTGTGACCTTGGGGAGACACTTGGCCCCGGTGAGCCTCCGTGTCCTGGTCTGAAAAGGGGGCCCACAGGAACTCTCCAGTTCAGAGGGCTGGGCGAGAAAGCTTTAGCACAGCGCCTGCACCACGGCAGAAACTCCGCAAAGCGTGGCTGCGGTGGAACCACCAGCTGACTGCTCCCTTCCGGGCGGGCGTGCTCACCGAGCCTCCAGCCAGGTGGCCGACCTCTAATTCTCACCACGACACTCACAGCAGAGCCTCGCCGGGCTCCGGTCCAGGGGGCAGACGCATGCCCAGCAAGTCGGGCCGACCGTGTTTATGGGGCCAGCGTGAACCGGAGCCCAGAGGCCGAGCGACGGGACCACGTTTGCAGAGCTGGTTTGTGAAACGCAGGAGATTGGAGCCCACATCCACGTGGTTTCCAGACTGCGTGCTTTCTATCAAACCACGATGCTTCTCACGAAAGATGTGAACCTCCCCGGCTGGTGTGGCTCCGTGGGTCAGAGCTTTGTCCCGTAAACCGAAAGGTCACCAGTTCGATTCCCAGTCAGGGCACATGCCTGGGTTGTGGGTCTGGTCCCAGGTCTGGGCAGGTATGAGAGGCAACCGACCAATGTTTCTCCCTCACGTCGAAATTTCTCTGTCTCTCTCCTTCCCTCCCCCTCTCTCTAAAATCAATAAGCGTGTCCTCGGGTGAGGTTTAAAAAAAAAAAAAGATGTGAGCCTTTCTGCAGAGCCACATCTGCCCCGAAACTCACGTGTAGGACTTCCCGGAGCCGGTCTGCCCGTAGGCGAAGAGGCAGGCGTTGTAGCCTTCCAGGGCGCGGGCGAGGAGGGGGGCCGCCAGGGTCCCGTACACGGCGGCCTGGCCGGCGTAGCACGGGTGACCCTCGTCGAAGGACCAGAAGGAGACGTCGTAGACAAAGTTGTACACGTGCCTCATGTCAGGGTGTCTCACGGCGATCTCCTCCCCGTCCATGAAGACCACCTGGGCTGAGTTCTCGTCCCTTTCCCTTGTGGAAGGAGCACAGGGGAAAACGCCAGTCACTGCCGCTGGTGTGAGCAGCACCCCAGGGAGCACAGGAACCGCGGGGCGCGGGGAAAGGGGCCTCCCCCCGGGACAAGCTCATGCCTCCGTTTCCCGTGGAAGGTGCTGAGCCGCAGACAGAGCGACGGGGCGTGCCCAGGCCGAGGGCCGGGGGCAGTGCAGCTCAGGCCTGTCCCCGAAAGCCGGCCCTGCTCCCAGTCTCCCCGCCCCACCCTTTCCTCTCGGACTCTCCCTTTCCTGCTCCTGGGACCCACCCGGACCCCCGGCTCAAGGCCGGACACTGATTTTTAACATGCTGTAAAGAGGTTTCGGAAGGTGAATCTACAGAAAGGTGTCCCAGTGCCATCTCAGCAAACCTGGGTAAACGTCGGTGTGACTCTCGGTGTCCCCGCCACCGCACGGGTCCCTCCCGCCCTCAGAGCCACGACCTTCACGCCCACCCTCCGTCCACCGCAGACTCGGAGGAAGTGTCTCCCTTGCTCAAGGTCCGCAGAAGGCGGTAGGTCCTGGTCTGGCCCCAGGTGTCCCTTTGCTGCCCCCAACTCCACTTTAGATCAGAATCGGCCCTGGAAGCCAGCCCCTCGTCGCTGCGGTGGGGGTGTCCTCCACCCACCGTGCAGACAGGGTGCTTCCGCTGGGCCCAGGGACGGTCCCCCCACCCCGGGCCCGGCGCCGCTGGCCTGCTCTCCCCGCCGCCGCCGCGCTCCCCTCCACGGCTCCCACGGCTCTTCTGTCGGGTTCCCCACTCTGTCCGATCGCGCTCCCCAGCCCTCCTCACCACCAACCCCACTCTGTCCCCAAAGGCCACATTTCTCTGTGTGACTTGCCCGTAACTGCTGCCCCTTCACGTCCTGACCAGAGGCTGAGCCCCCGTGCGGCGGCCCGCACAGTGTTGGAAAATAACGAGACACCGCGAGCACATTGTGTCACGTCCGTCTTCCCCAACCCGACATGTCGCCTGCGACTGTCCCACCCCCGACACTTGAACGAGAGATGGTTCTGCCGTCAGAATCGCATCTGACGAGTGGCCGCCCCTCCAAGCACCCGTATCAGAGACGCCAGTGGGGACGGCTGCCGCCCCAGAAGGGTCTGGAAGGAGCTCTTGGGGTGGGAGGCCCAAGGTGGCTCCTCTGAAGGGGGTGGTCGGCGGCCCCACTGTATAAGGCAGACTTGAGAGCAGACCACACCAAAGGCTTACGTCACCCAGACTTCCTAAAAGCAGCACGTCTGGAAAACCTTGCATCTGCCAAACATGGTGGTTTCAACTCTGTAACTTCACAGCCAATCCCCCCAAACAACCAGCGCACTGCAGCTACGGCGCAGCCTCCGAGTCCTCTCTGGGTGGAAACAGCCCCACCCGCAGGCGGGGAGGACCGGGCACCCCCGCGTCGGCAGCCTGGCCCCGGCGTCGCAAGGTGGCACGTACCTCTTGCTGAAAGGCCGCACGCGCACGGCCACCGTCACCTGGCTGCTCTCCACTTTTAAGGGGCCTCTCTCTGCGGCGGTGCCCCCGACCGCACTCTCTTCCTGGGGAGGAAGCGTGCGTTCTTGGGACCCTTCCCCCTTGTTGGCCAGAAGGGAGCCTTTCGGCTTTGGTCGGACCTGGAAGCCGGGCGAGCTGGTTTCCGGCCTCTTGAGCCGCGGCGCGCCGGCCCGCGGGGTCAGCCTGGGCTCCGCGGGGCGCTTGGCAGGTGTCCTCGTCTCTGAGCTCCCGAACTCAGGCGTGGTTTTCGCAGCGTCCTTCCCAGCGCTGGGGTGACGCGAGTTTCCCGGCCCCGGCACCTGGGTGTCCCACTTGCTCTGCGCCGGTTTCCCGGCCAGGTGTCCTGATCGCTCAACCTGGGTCCGACTCCGGGGGCCGACCGGCGTGCTGTGTCGCAAGTACTGCAGTGTCACGCTGTCATCCGCCCCGCTGAGGGCAGAAAGTCGTTCCTTGCATTTCTCGCCAGCCAGCGGCTCAGCGTCTTTCGTGCCTTCCGCGGAGGGCGCCGCCGGCGCAGCCAGCGAGCGGGTGTCACCACTGACCGTCGTTGCGCCTGCGCCGGTCTCCCTCGGAGCCCCCGCCGCGGTGCGCGCCGCGGTGCGCCGGCCCGCGGAGCCTGTTGGAGCGCGCCGCTGTAGCGTGAGGCTTGTCTCCGCCACTTTTCCGGGGGACTCTCCCAGCCCAGTCCCCAGCAACGAGGACTCTCTGTTCCTTGTAACTCTCCTCTGAAGGGCCAGTCGGCCGGCGGGGCTGGGGGTGAGGGCCGTGTCCCCGGGCGTTTGACGGGCAGAAATGACGTAGGTGCAGTTTACCTCTCCGCGCCTCCCGGCGGAGCCCCGCGAAGGGTCGTCGTTCTCGCGCTCGCACACGGCCGACTTCGCGCGCAGCTTCTGGCTGCTCCCGAGGCCGAGACCATTCGCGGATGGGCCCTTTAGGGAAGAAGGCACACCCAGGGCGTCACCGGTATTCCGACTGCGCGCCGCGGGCGCTGACATCGTGGCAGAGAGTTATTTCCAAAGAAGGCTGTCCATGGACCTAAGCTCTTCTCTGGATGCTCGTTTGACCTCCAGCCTGTCCGTCTCCAAAAGGATCTGTTAAATTACAAAGAGAAAAAAAATTATTGCACAGACTGCAAACAGGCTTTAAAAATACCAGAACCTTTCACTGTGAAAGCAGCTTCCCCGAGGAGTGCACTGGAACGCAGCGGGCAGACACAAGGCCCGTGGGCCAAACCCAGCCCGGCACCTCGTTTCTACCCGGCGGCAGCGCTGAACTGTCACTTAACAGTTAAGGAGCAGTTACATGTACACAGTCCAACCATCACAGTCAGCCCTTTGAAGGCAACCGCGAGGCTGATGTGGCCCCCGGAGAAAGTGAGTTTGACGCCCCTGCAGTAGAATAATCGGATCCTGGAGACAGACCCGCGACGCTGAGGCTGCGCTACTTGGGGCTCGTTGTGAGAAGGCAGCGTCGTTGGACAAGACAGGAACACGGGGACGGCAGAGGCCGCAGGAAGGAGGGGACCGGCCGGGAGGTGGACAGACTCCGAGGAAGGGGCCACAGGCTGTGTCCCCAGGGCGGAGCAGGGCTGTGAGGGCAGGACGCTGTGGGCACCACTCATTCACAGGGTTCCCGGGAGTCGGAGCCCGTAACACACACCTAAGTGCCCTGACCTTGATAACCCCAGACACCACGGGGGCTTCCTGGGCGGTCCTCAGGGCCATGGCTCCCAACGAGCCAGGAGCCAGGACCCTGGCGTCGCCCTCCCCAGCGGTGGAAGAGGCCCCCAGTGCTGTGAGTAGTGAACCTGTCCTTGTCTCAAAGCTTCCGGATGGGCACCGCTGCAGGGCGCCTTGCAGCCCCAAGCGGAGCCAAAGGGCTGGCCCCGCCACCAGGCCGGTTATTCACGGGCTGAGACCAGTCATGACCCCAGGTGTGTGCAAAGGGTGGTCAGCAGCGTCCACCCAGCATGGAAGCTTAGGGGGGGGGGGGGGGGACAGCGGTGCAGCCGACTCTGCACCAAACGGGCCGTGTCCGTGCAGACAGGCCTTTGCGCCCGGTGCCTGGCTCCCCTGCACAGTGACGACACCTGGTCCAGCTGTTCCCTGGAGCACTGCTGTCCGGGAACACGATAAGTTAGTTTTCAAGGAGGTCTTTCCAAGTCCCAGCAACAACCGCCTGGGTTTAGCCCCTCCGGCCAAGCTTTCGGCTCCAAGCAGAGCGCCTTCCTCCTGCGACGGCAGGACTGGAAAGGCCGGACGCCCCGCCGCAGCTGCAAACTCTTTGCTCCCCACGCGAAACGACGGGAAGGTCGGGGAGGTTCTCCATCAGACCGGCACCGACGCCAGGGAGAGGAGTCGCCGCCTGCCCTTCCCCGGCGTCCCGGGGTTCTGCCCCCAGCCGGTCACCGCGAGGGCGGGACGGCGAGCGGACCTTCCCGTGCCGCCGGGAGAGCCTCCGGCGGTGACAGCGCCCGGCCTGAGGTCCAGCCGCCACGCCCTCCCTGCCTCCCCTCTTCCCCTCCTCCCCGGGGGCCGGAACCTCCTCCGGGGCCGCGACCGGGGCGCCGTGGCTCGCGGGTGCGGAGAGCCGAGACCACCGGCCGCGCGCCCCGCACGGCACCCGTACCTCTCACGTTCCCCAACCCGGAGACGCCCGGGCGCCGCGCCCGCAACACTCACGGCCCGCTCCCGGGATGACCACAATTTGAATGGGCGCCCCGTCTTCTGATTGGCTGCTGGCGTTGCGTCGGGGTCGCCTCCTGATTGGCTGGTGGACGTCGCGTTATTATTAGCTGCTTGCGTCACGTCGACGCCGCCTTTTGATTGGCTGCGGGACGGCGCGTCAGGCGCCGCGCCTTCACTTCCCGTCACCGCCCCCCCCCGGAAGCGCCGGTGGCTGGGTGGCTCGGAGTGTGGACGGTGGACACTCCCGGCCCTCGACAGGGGTCTGGGCCGCAGGTGGCCGTCGCTGACGTGGGTGTCTGATGAGAACAAGGACAGTGACACTTGTCGCTCCTCCGCGTAAAGGAAGCGTGGAGTCCACCCACCTCCGCGCCGTCAAAACGGCTGTTTGCTCCCACGTGAATCACAACGACCCTTTCCCAGTGTCTCCGACGCGGAGCGCGGGGATGGGAGCTGGACCGAATGTCTGACATGGGCCTCTTCCCACTGGACCCCGAAAATCCCGAACCGGAGAGACGCTCAATGCCTTGAATGCTCTAAAGCCGTGGAAGAATGGCACGTATCACAACTGCGAAGACGCCGCTCCCTAAGAATTATGAAAGTACGAATTAGGCGGACGGTGCAAAGATTCCCATCCCGGCAGGACGTTTTTCGACAAGTTCCACTACCTGAACCCGAGCGAAACCTATCCCAAACAACCCCCTTATTCTGAAAATAAGAGCAAGTATTGTTTTATTCCGCCAGAGGGAGACACACGGAAAGAAAACAGTTCAGAAGCAGAGCAAGCACTTTGGAGGCCTTCTAGATTAATTGGGTTAAGGTTTAAAGAAACACCATTCTCTCGGGCCATTTAACGGTCTCTTAGAATACAAATTTACTACGTTGATTCGATTTCATAATCTTTTCATTGTTAAAATGCGGGCTGTATTTTCCTGCTGTGTGGGTGTTGGTGTTGAGTTGCCTTTGGGTCCGTAACAAAGAGGCGCAATAGGTCAATGGAAAGGAGTGATTGTCAAATCCAAAGGACCGAGCTGAGAAGAGCTGAGAGCACAGCACCTGCTTCCAGCGGAAGCCCCGCCACCCCCTCATGGTGGGACCACCCATCTCTTTCCTGCAGTGCCTTCACCCGGGAGGCGCTGTCCCTGCGTTCAACGGTCACGGCTGGCAATTCCTGAGTGCCTTCCCTGTGCACACCCCTACAGGGAGCTGCTGCAGTTATGAGGACTGCTCTCCCGTAAGGGAGGGAAACTGAGTCTCCAGGAAGTGGAGGAGCTTGCCTGAGATTACACATCTGTTAAGTCATGGTCAAGTTCAGAGCTCAGGAAACTGGGCGTCATTGCCCGGGTTCCCCAGCACTAGTTGTGGTACAACTGCTTCTGTGAGGGTTCTTTCTGGCTCCCAGGTTTCTGTGACTCTGATAAGCAGAGTTAAACAAACACAAACACAGTTTCAAATGTGTACCCTCTAAATTTGAATGAATACTCTTGTCAGACCAGGAGTCTTGGAATTATGCGCTTGCTTGATTTGGTTTTGGTCTGGTCTGATGGATGAAGTCTTTATGAGGTCAGTGGTGATCACTCAGTGATTCAGTCTAAATGCATTTGGCAGTTCTGCCAGTGATTTGAAAAGAAACAATTACATTAAGCTAGTAATCCTTTCTCAATATAGAAAGAAGAGAGCTCAGGGATTAGCAAATGTTCCAGACGCTCCTTCCTCTTTGAATCATGCAGGTTTCATTCCAGAGACGATTAGTAAGGTTCAGAAACCACCGTCAGCCCCAGAGCCTACAGGGTAACCCATTTTTGCCTAGAGGAAGCTCTAGGGTCCGCTTAGGATGGACAGTTTCTCCAAAAGGCCAAGTCTGACCTTCAGTCAGGTGCCTTCTTCCCACTGTGCCCCGCCAACATGGCTCAAGGTCATTTCTGACACCCTGTTGGAAACAATGCTGACTCTTCCCAGTAGAAATGTAGCTGTTTTCCTACAGTGGAGAATGAAACAGCCACGGAGTTAAGTACAAAAGCAGATATCCGATGGTCTCAGTAAGGATGTTGAGTGTGTCCCAGTCCGTCACTCAGCTGTCCGTGTTTGCCCCTAAATGGTTTATCGTGTCATTTCTCTTATTGGTGAATTTCAATGCTAGCCACGTCTACAATGTCTAGAGTTGTCTAAAACGACACCCATTAGTTGTTTTTCAGAACCACCTGTAGTTTGCCCATTTATAGGAATTAGTTTTCTCATTTGGAAAACAGAGAAAGAGATTTTGCCAAGTGATTGCTTCCCCTATTTGTGGCTTTAAAAGGGCGGCGGACCACAGGAAGCCGCCTGGGCAGCAGGCATCGCACTCAGAGGCGTCCCGAGGGAGCGAGGACGTGTTTCTGCGCCTCGCGGCGGCGGCACGCTGCACCCAGCCGCACGCTGCACCCAGCCGCACGCTCCTGCCTGCTTCTGCCGTCCGCAGAGGGCTTAATCACAGCCCGTGCTCTGACTCACTCCGGGAACAAAGAAATCCACCATCAGAAAGACTTCTGCTTCCCTCCCCGCTCCCCAGACGCCACGGTCTGGGGCACCGGAGACAGTTGGGTGTTCTGTTTGGACGGGCACTTTCTCAGTTCCCTCTGGCGTACAAACGAGTCGACGGTGTGCTTCTCTGTCTCCCGTGACGAACAGGGGCTCCAGAAGCCGTGGTGTCGGCTTATATGGACTCACGGGTTTCATTTGTGTGAGACTACACCCCAAGCACTAGTCCCGTTCGCCCTGTCCTTTACGTCTCCCCGCCGCGTTGCTTCGGTGTTACCCACGAATTCCTGCACCACAGGCGTTCACGGGCCCCAGACGTCCACTCCGGTAACGAGCGACCTTGAGCAGCCTGATACGCCCCTGAGAGAAGAAAACGAAAACTAACCTCTAGCTGATCCGTGGGCTCCCCCTCTCCTGAGGTTCCCCACGGGGGATGCACACTGCCACCCGGGGAACCTGCCCCCGCCTGGAAGTCAGAGGCAGGCTGTCCAACGTCACAGAAACGACATGTGACTTCGGTCTTCTAACGGTGTATTAAGAAGACGGTAATTCATTTTAATAATACATTTTATTCAGGGTAACACATCCACAATATCTCAATTATGTAATCAACATGAAAACCATTCCTATTTTACAGTCTTTTCTCGGGCACCGGGTGTGCAGGGCCAGCCCCTCTCTGAGTGCGCAAGGGGCACAGTAGTGGTCTGAGGGACCTCTCTCCCTCTCTCTCTCTCCCTCTCTCTCTCTCCCTCTCTCTCTCTCTCTGTCCTTGATTTTAGGAATGAGGGAAGGGCCTTAGGATTGGGTTAAAAATGTGTTCAGTCCATCACGAGACCATTGCATTGTAGCTGGGCGAACAGAACCCGGATTCCCCAGCTCCCAGTCCCTGGCCACACCCTCTGGGCCCCCATCATCATGCATCTGGCTTTGTGGGCCCTCTGTCTGGGGGTGGCCTGTGGTGTGAGGCTGTTTCTGACTTTTTGAAGTCGAAGGCCAGTGGGAGCTCCCACGTCCCTATCTACGCTCAAATTAGCGCAAACTCCAAAATTACGCCTTTGGCTCAGCTCACGTCCCTTGCTCTCTCCCTGTAATTATTCTAGAAGCGTCACTGCAAAACTACACAGCACGGCGAAGTTCCCGAGTCAGCACAGGTGTGAGGACCAAAGCATGGAAAGAATTCCAGGGCCCCCGTGCGCACGCCTGACCCCCGAGCCGAAGAGATGCTTTTTGCCCTCAGCTCAGGAAGAGGGTGACAAGCACCTGTGAAAACCAGTCCACACGTTCCTGAGCCCCGGGCCACCCTCCCCTGCGGCTTCCCTCGCTCCATTCTCTGACTCGACGCTCACTCTCCGGACAGCGACGGCCCAGCACTGCCCCGGACTCCAGACTCCGCACAGGCTGTGAGCCCCCCATTCCCTTGCGGATGGGGGCAGTCCCCTCCTCCGCTCTAGAAGGAAGGCCCCGTTCCAAGCGCAGACACGGTGACGCAGGCCCAGGGCTCTCTCCTCGTTATTTTCGGCAATTCTGTGAAGGCTCCACGCCCACGGGCTGGAGATGGGACTTCAGTGCGGGACCGTCCAGCTCCGTGGGGCGGAGCGCCATTAGCCCCGTCTCTGCCCCCTTCCCTCACCCGCTTACATCGGGAACAATCGGGCCTGTTCCTGGAATTAGCAGCCGGTACCCCCCATCACAGGTCGCCCAAAAACCAACCTTCTTCCCGAGGACCCCGGGGGCTCCACGGGCCTGTGGTGCTGAAGGCCCCCACACGGGTGCTTTAGAACAGCGCACCGACCACAGGGGCCTGTTTGTCTGCCGGGCTGGGTGTGGGCCTATGAGGGGGCCCTTGGCCTGTGCTCCTGACCCCCTCCCCGCACCAGGCCATTTGGGGGGCCTGGGTTCACGCTCACAGAGCTCTCCCCTGACCCCAGCCTCCCTGCCCTGCTGTGACCCTGGGCTCCGGCTGTGTTTCATTTCTGCTCCCATTTCTATGGAAGGAGAGGGTTTCACTGAGAAGTGAAGTAGGCAGTGGGCGTGGGGGTCCCTTCCTCTCCGTCGGCCCCCCACCCCTCCGGGTCGGCCTCCCCTGACCGCTGACTGAGCTCCAGCAAAGAGGAAACTGGTAGCGTGTCTGAGGGCCAGCTCGCCTCCAGGTCCCGACCCCGCCCACCAGCTGCCAGGGTGGCCCGAGCTCTGGGCCCACACTCTGCCCGACTCGGAGCTGCGGGCTGAGCTGGGGCCCGGCCCCAGACTCACCACGCCCGTTTCCTGTTCAACCCCAGCAGCGAGTCTGGCTGATGAGGGGACGGGCGGGCAGACTGGACTTCAAAGCCGGGCCTTGCCCCTGGGTCTGCGTCGAGGTAAGAGCTAGGCTCCGGGGCAGGTGAGCAGACACAGCGGTGGGAATGGGAGGCAGAGGGTGGTGGGAGGTGGAGGCCAGGAGGCCGATGAGGCCACTGTGCGGGGGGAGGGGGCCCGTGGGGGGTCAGAGCAGCT